CACCCCCAACCCCCCCCACCACCCCCCCCCACCACAACTCCACCCCCCCCCCACACCCCCACCACCCCCCACCCCCCCCACACCACCACACACCCACCCCCCCCCCACAACACCCCCCCCCCCCCCCACACCACCACCCCCCCCCCCCCCTCACCCCCCCCCCAGCACCACCAACCACCACCACCCCCCCCCCCCCCCCCCACACAACCACCACAACCACCCCCCCCCCCCCCCCCACACCAGCACACACCCCCCCCCATCCCCACACAACCACCACCACCACCTCCACCCCCCCCCCCCCACCACCCCCCCCCCCCCCCCCACCACCACCCCCCCCCCCCACACCACCACACCCCCCCCCTCCACCACACCCCCACCACTACTTACTAAAACCACCACCTCTACTTACTACCACCACCACCACCACTTACAACCACACCACCACCTACTACATGTAAAGTAAAAGGACACAAGTGCAACTAAATGTACATAGGACCCCCGCATAACGATAACCACAGATGCGACCAATAATGTAAGTTATTTATTAAGTGTGCGTTTGTACGAGTAATGCTTGAGGGTTTGAAATGAACTAATCAACTTCACAATCCTTATGGAACCCTCGCAAATTCAGTCATACTGCACTGAACATACTTCTGGAGTGAATAAAATATCGTTACTGGGGGTCCACTGTAGTAATAGTAGTAAGTAGTAGGTAGTATAGTAGTGACAATATGGTAGAGCAATTAATTCGTACATGAGTAAAAGGATAATTTAAAGCTATGAATTTGGGTAAACATAAAAATAGGTTGGACAAATATGAGACTGGATAGAGAACCTTTTTAGTGTTCACCTCTCTGTAATGTGCTTTGTGTAGTATAACAGAGAGACTATGGAAGGCAGGTGTTTACAGATTTCAGGAGGATTCTCACTAAGACTTCAGAGATGGTGAACTGCTGCTGTTTGTTTAATTGTAATCGAAACAGCGATCAGTGCTGATGTATCGAGCACAGGCGTCTGCGGAAATTAGTTTTCTTGGATCACTATTGGTGCCGTACCCTGAATTTCATGAGATGATTGGTGGAATTTCGGTGTTGTAACACATGCGTTGTTCAAGAAACGTTCCTACATGCGTAAGTGTGTTCATTGGGCGGGTGTCAGAGGTTTCTTGTGCTGTTTCACCTACATAAATTCTTGTCAAAGCCTCCACAGGGTATAGTGTAAACCCCTGCATTGACTGTTTTCGTGGTGCTTTGATTTTGGTCCATGGTTAGATCCTTTATTGAAGTGCTAGAAGCGATGTACAACGCCCGTGTACAACACTGAAATTCCCACCAATCATATCATGAAAATTCAGTGACGCCCAATTATGTGATCAAGAAACTAATTTCTGCAGACTCAAGTGCCTCGAATCAGCACTGATCGCCGTTTACGAATACAATTAAAACAAAACAACACAGCTTCACCATCTCTGAAGTCCCTTAGCAAATCCTTCCCTGAAAACATAAACCCTGCCCATCACATAGTCTCTCCTGTTATACTACACAGCCACATCAACAGAGAGTGACACTGAAAAGGTCTTCTCTATCCAGTTCTATATTCGTCCAACCATTCTTATGTTACCCAAGTTAATAGCTTTTATATCCTTTTACTCATGTACGAATTAATTGCTCTACCAAATTGTCACTACTACAACTAACTACTACCACTAGTGAACATTCGAAATGGTACCACACTAGTATGCACCCTCACTCTGAGCCTTTATATACCCCTCTGTGTCCATATACTGCTTGTATCGCTTGACAAAGCACCTGAAGAGCGAAACGATGCACATTAAAATGTCACCATAAGTTGCACTGTGTCCTTTAACTTTACATATTGTCAGTAATTCTACCAACCATTATTACAACCACTACTACTACACCAAACCACCTCTACCACTACCACCACCACCTCTACTACCTTACTACTACCTACCACCACCATCTCTCACTACTACTATCCACCACCATCTCCCACTACTACTACCACCACCACCACCATCCCAATACTACTACCACCACCACCACCATCTCTACTACTACTACCACCACCACCTCTACCTACTACCACCAATACCTCTACTACTAACCACCACCACGTCTACTATTACACCACCACCACTTACCTCTATGACTACTACCACCCCACCTTTAACTACTACCAATTTAACACCAACTCTACCACTACCTCTCTGCTTCCTATCCTACTTGTCCCTTACCCTAACGCTGGTCTATACCTACTGGCCTCCTTCTCTTTCGCAGTGTGATTTTGTAAATTGTGTCCAAGTCAGAACTGAAATGTCGTGGCAAGCTCCCCTCTTCCTCCTATGTGCAGGTAATCTGTTTGTTCCCAGTCACAGTATTTGTCTTTTTGTTATTTAAAATGTTTATTGTAGGAAGCTGAATAAATTGAAGAACAAGTAAGTATAACTGAAAAACTGTCTGTATTAGTGAACGCTGTAAAGTGAGGCCTGCCTTACTATGATATTTAAAGATTATTTTTCTAATTAATTCTTTTTTTTTTATTATATGATGGGGTACACGTCTGGTTGTAAATTGTGGGACCCATTACCTCAGGAAGTGGAAAAAAAGACATTCAAGGAAGAATATTTTTGGATTTACTTCCTGAAGCCGTTTAAAATATTCACTTCCCCTACCACCCAATCTTTTCATTCTTTTTTAACCAATAGGTATATTTTTTATTTACATAATATGGTACAAAAGTTTAAGAGATACATTGTTGATATAAAGGAGCATATACGGTACGATGTTGTTACGTGTGTAAATCACTCGGACTATAAGGCGAAATCTCATCCCAGCATCCTCAGAGCTGGGGCGCGTGCCAAAAACACAACAGTCATTTGCCCCTTTGAACATACGCACTGAGCCGCTGGAACAGAAAACTAGCTGCCTGGATCCCTAATTACCCTGAGAGTCTTTTTTCCCAGATTCTTAAGGAATTTAGATGCATTCTTTTCCCCATGAGCCAAGGTCTCTGACCCTATGGAACAAACATATAGTGATGGTCAAAGTTCTCCATAATTTCCTAGACTTTTGGACCTCCCTGAAGCTGCAGCTGCCCTCTTCCATCCCTGGTGTATTGAGATAGGTATCAGCCAAGGTAGATACACATGTTAGTCCCCAAACCACCTGCTTCCGTCTGTCCATGCTTGAAGAGTGATACCATCTGGACCTTCTGCTGCCCTCAGATCTTGCCATAGCTGGGTGGCTCCCTTACTGCGGGTCATCTGCTGTTGTGAGGCTCCTCTTGATAATGTTTATTTAACCTCCTCATGTCTTGCAATCTTTCCCTCGATTTATGACACACAAGACATGTACCCAAATCAATTGCGCTTCATGCACAAATACACTTAGTCGGCGAGAAAGGGGTGGCAACACAATGCTGATGGTCTGTGGGTCTGAGGCTGTGCCAAGCTGGTGTTTGGGAACAGCCAACAGAAAGACCCCTGCAAGATGGCTCTCACTTCCTGGAGGCGGGCTCTATCCTTCCCTGACACACAGAAGTATTGTTGAGGCTATATATTCCACTACATGACCATCCCAGTGCGATTGTTTGTAGTTGTTGGGGAAGCAGGTCTTGTTTTCAAGCCCGTATAGATTATCCCCAGATCATTGCTCCGTCCAATGAACTATTGTTCCAGGACTCCAATCTGTCCCCTAGATGTTCAGGGAGAATAGCTGCTACAAGCCCTCTGATGCAATACATAGACAGAAAAGCAGGTAGTGCAATCGTGAAGACTTGCAGACACCAATAGCCTCCCTATCGACCTGGCAGTGTAAGCTTTCTTAACTTTTTAAACTCACTCCAAAATTTTTTCTTATTTTCATTAAAATTTCTTGACAGTGCCTCTCCCACTCTATCATCTGCTCTCCTTTTGCACTCTCTTCACCTTTCTTTTACTCTCCTTTTACATTTAGTAATATATACAGGAGAAGGGGTTAGTAGCCCCTTGCTCCTGGCATTTTAGTCGCCTCTTACAACATGCATGGCTTACGGAGGAAGAATTCTGTTCCACTTCCCCATGGAAGTAAGAGGAAATAAACAAGGACAAGAACTAGAAAGAAAACCCAGAGGGGTGTGTATATTTATGCTTGTACATGTATGTGTAGTGTGACCTAAGTGTAAGTAGAAGTAGCAAAGACGTACCTGAAATCTTGCATGTTTATGAGACAGAAAAATAGACACCAGCAATCCTATCATCATGTAAAACAATTACAGGCTTTCGCTTTACACTCACTTGGCAGGATGGTAGTACCTCCCTGGGCGGTTGCTGTCTACCAGTGTACTACCTTTCTTGAGGTATATGTGGAGACAAAAAAACGTTATCAATGGAGGCAAAGAATTGAATGTATGAAAGTATAGTAGTTCCAACACTCTTATATGGAGTATGAGCAGGGTAATATTTAGTGAAGGGATTCAGGGAAACCGGTTATTTTTATATAGCCAGACTTGGGTTCTGGAAATAGGAAGTACAATGCTTGCACTTTAAAGGAGGGGTTCAGGATATTGGCAGTTTGAAGGGATGTGTAATAGGACAGTATATATATAACTGGGGCCCTGATATTATATTCTATAGGGAGTTTATTATATTATTTCAGGTCACTTTTTATATTGTATCTTTATATATGCTTTTAAACTGTTGTATCTGGGCACCTCAGCAAAAACAGTGATTATGTGTGAGTGAGGTGAAAGTGTTGAATGATGATGAAAGTATTTTCGTTTTGGGGATTTTCTTTCTTTTTGGGTCACCCTGCCTAGGTGGGAGACGGCCGACTTGTTGAAAAAAAAAAATAAAAAAAATAATCGGTATTAACACTGTTCTTATTCATTTTTCCAAAATTGTTATCTAAAGGTGCCTTTGCTTACTGCATCACCCATGCTCACAACTCTAATATCCAAATTTTTAGTTCTAAAGCAATGTATTTAATAAACTTAATAGTAATCGCTATGAGAATTCATTTCCCATATAATTTTATTCTCACTTTATCTTGTCGTTGTCGTTCAAGCTCTCGTATCCTGCTACACAATGTTTCATTTTCTTCAATGCCACGGTGCAAGCGGTCAGCAGTATGCTCAAGTTCTCTCTGTGTTACCTTCAGGGAATCACGTAGACCATCAACCTGTTACAAAGTAAAATAAATTATCCAAACAAAAAACATATGCAAAAAATGAATTAGATATTGACATTAATTTTTTATTATTATTGTAAATCACATTGTTAAATAAAAGACAGTGCAATAGAAAACTATAAAAGCAAATATTAAAAGAAATTTCTATTTGATACCAGGCATCAAAGATGCACAATCACTAGAACAATTGTAGCAAACATTTAGAATAAAAAGGCACAATAATCTACACACAGGAGACTGAAACTTATGATGACCTTTCAGTCCAACTTGGACCATTAACTAGTCGCACAGAAACGCAAAGGCAAGGGAGCCAGAAAATATGAGAGGTAAGTAGGACTGAAACATGTCATAAGTTTCAGTCTTCTATGTGCAGGTTATTTGTGTATGACCAAATATTTATGTTTAGATTTGAACACCAACAAAAATTAACTATAAAATTAGAATAAAAAATTTCCAAATGATTATCAGAAATTGTTCTTGTAATTTTCATCCTCAGCTTAGGCTCGTAGTCAACTGCAGAAGAGAATGTTTGAAACTAGATATTATCTTTCTGCTTATATTATCTCTTATGGCTTTCCCTGCCATACATTAAGAAATTAATAAATATCACTTAAGCAACAAAGTAAACTTAAATATAGATATTTGATTAGTAAATTATTCCTGATCAACCACTAAATACCCACATAAATAAGCTGTACAAACATGAGGTGTTTTAAAAGTTAAAATAGCTGTGTTGTAATATTTTTATGGGTAGATTTATTATTTTATTATTTACAAAAGCATATTTTAAAAATTCACTGCCAATTTATTTTTGTCCTAGGGTTGATTAAACTAATTATGATGAAAAATGTTTGACCACAACTACATAGGCAAGTGAGAGGATTCCCTTGGCACTGTAAGCATGAGTAGAACACAGACTAAACAATACCACAATGACGGGGGTCTCGCAGGTTGGGGCACGAGGGTAGACAGTCGTGGAAGGGGGGGAGGTGACGAGGAGGGGCTGCCATATAGGGGTCTCAATCACCTGTTAACATTACCATTCACATCTCATTACTCATTACTATGTTTAATTACAGTTTACATTTCAACTACATTTATATACAGAAGATCACTGATTATACACTTTGTTCATGGAGAAAGGGTGCCCTGGATTTTCAACAATATTGGATGATCACAATCTGTTTAGGTGCTGGTACAGATTGAACTAGACCAACGGAAGCTAAATAAATGATCACTGGATAATCATTGATGTACTGTATGTAGTTGACAGCATTCTTACTATACCTCTGATTCCTTAATCTCTGTAAGAGTTCCCTTGTTAGAAAAGGTGGCTTCATGGTAAGTCTTCCCAGGGCATTTCACACTATTTTAATTGTTAAAATATTTGTCAAGAATTCCTGCTTCAGTAACTGATCTCCCTAAGTGAACTCAGAGGAACACTCCCATTCTTAAAAACTGTATACACAGTTTCCTCTGCCCTCCCTGCTACTCAAGCATTTATGCTGCCTCTTGCTAGGCACATAGCTGCTGCTTAGAGACACTTAAGGGCAATTATTTTTTTTATAATGCTAATGTCTCTTAAAGGCATAGTTAGTTTAATTTTAATGACTAATTCTTCCTTAATCATTTAAAATCTTTTAACTGCTTCTTTTGAGTTTGACATTTGATCAGAAAAAAATATATATATATATACAATCTTTTAAAGTTAGTTCTACTCTACATAAAGTACAACTTTTTTTTCCTTAATTTCTGAAAGACTTATCAACTCCTCTAAAGGATTTCTGATCAGCCTGCAATTATAAAAGAAAAATCACCGAGCTGAGATTGTGAGCATCATTTTACATCCTTTTAAAGGAATTCTGAACTGTCAATGCCTTGCCTGTGTGTGTGGTGCCTGTACAAGACTTGTAAAGAAAATGTAAAGAAAACAGAAAAGTTTAAAAACATGCAGCAAAGGAAATTCTAGAAGTAAGAAATAAGGGCTTTGGTATACAACTGAAAAACATGAAAGTTATAGAACATGTGCAACATCTGGATATCTTTATTTAGTAGACGATTTCGCCATCCATCTGTATTGATAAAGCCACGGATGGCGAAATCTTGGACTACAATAAAGATATCCAGATGGTTGCACATGGGGTCTTAACTTATCATATTGTCGGTATATTATACAATTTCTTTCACAACTGAAAAACGCAAAAGCCTTCATTAAAATATAAGAGATAAAAAAACCACCTTTAAGTTCATAAAAGGCTATGTTAAAAAGTGGAAATTCTTTTGGAACTAAAATCATAGGATAATTATTGACAACACAAGTGGCAGACACATGGGTGAATCTAGTCATGGTTGTGTGAACTACTACAAATTACAATATTTAAGAAGAATAAAAATTTAGAGACAAACAATCATAGCTAATCCTGTGCCACAAATAGTAATCAGAACATTTCAAGTTTGTTATGCAGGCACTCTGATACATTACATGCCATCACACAGTGACACATGAGATACTTCCAATGGTGGCTTATACAATAAATTTAAATAATTAACATTATATAAAAACAAGATGTTTTGGTTAAAGTAAGTTGGAAAGTTCTTTTTTTATTCTATAGTTAACCCGGTATGTTTAGCACTTCCTTTTGATTATAATAATATAATCTATAGTTACATTTTTGTAATCATTTTTTAATTTTGCATTTTAATATTTCAAGCAAGACGCATCCTATAAATCATATTTTAATGAACTGTTACTTCAGAGCACCAAAGTAATGAGTGAAAGCCCATAAAATTTTCACTTGTTTGTATCATGCAATTTAATATTTATTTTTCAATAGCATTATTTAATCATTCTGAAATCAAAATGAATATTCACCTCTTCTCTTTTTCTTTCAATTTCCTCATTTTTCCCATCAAGTAGAGATCGCAATTCCTTCACCAAATCTTTCCATTTATATGCTTCAGACTTCTCAGACTTCAGACTGTCCCGCATTCGAGACAACTCACTTGTTAGTTGCTCTAACTGAAATTTGTTGTATCTATTAGTTACCCAGCAATTTACTTCTCTTAATTCTTAAAATTAATGAGGAAGGTTACACATTAGAAAGTACATATTTAGACCCAGGAATACTGTGAAATGTTTCACTAAAATGAAATGTAAAAGTAAAAAAATATATTATTTTATCAAAGTGTATCCAAACTCCTTCAACTCTTGACAGGTTTTCTCATACTAACTTTGGAGGTCAGCTCTTGGTTCTCTTTCCGCAAGCCTGTTACTTCAGGCGAATTTGACATCTTTTTCTGAGAGCTCATGTTAGATCTCTCTGTTTCTAGTTCGGAAACTAACCCCTGAATTCGTTTTTCTGCCTCCTGCAGTGATCTGAAATTAAAAATTTTTGTCATTGGCTACCTAAAAACCTAATGTACACTTCCAACAGCACAGAAAGTTCAAGTCTATAAATCAGTCGTGAATGTGTTTGCAACTAAATTACATTTTTATTTTAATTGTGCAAAGCAACTTGTATAGTGTCTGGCAAGGCTACTGTATTTAGTAATTTTTATCCTTCTGCAGATATTGCTTAGATATCAACAAACAATGTACAGTGTAACTAAGCTGAAGTTTTAGGCATAAGTTATTTTATATTGTTACATAGCCTGGCATCTCTCTATTGATTTTTTTTTTTTTGCAATACTGTACCAAAATCTCTCCATTTATAAAAGACAAAAAGAGAAGTATGTACTAATCCTCAGTAATATCTGAACATAAACAAAATTTAGACTTATTAAAATTTAGATATGTCTACCTGTTAAGTCTCTGGACAACATCATCATGATGACTTGCTTGGGCAGCTGAAAGTTCCAGAAATTTCTTTTCCTCTGAATTAACTTTTTCCTCCCATTCTTCCCTCTCTTTCAAATACCTTGTTTATTGAAGCGGTAGGTGATGAAGGTGGATGCAGGAGGAATAATGTTAGTTGTTTATGGCATGCTAACAAAGACATTTATATACTTAATATATGTATATCAGTCTCACTATTTCTGCTTCACTGTTCCCTTCAGAAACTTCTCTCTAAATAAAAATTTTGCAATTAGAAAAAACAAATAGATCAATACAGTTTTCTAAAAAATTACTGATCAGCACACAGTAGCATCTTGGATAATTCTGGTGAAGGCTCAACATAATGCTACTCTCTCAGAGATGTGACATTTAAGAATGGAACATGGAATTGAAGATGCAGAACAAGATATAACAAATACAAGTAGATATTTCTATAGTTATCAGTAGAATAAGCTTAACATTTTGCTTTTTAATTCTTGGTATCTGTTCCATGAAATATACCAAAAATTATTTATATACTAAATTATCATTATGTATATAACTTGAGGAGCAAGAGGTTGGTAACCCCTTCTGTATACATTACTAAATTTATATAGAGAAACTTTTGTTTTTCTGTTTGAGTCACCCTGCTTTGGTGGGATACGGCCAGTGCGTTGAAAGAAAGTATATACAGGAACTTGATAAATTAGACACATGTAGAACACTTGGGTATCGTTAATGAGGAAATGTTTTGCCACACAGTGGCTTCATCAGTCCATACAAAGGAGAATGGTGAAGAACAGAAGTTTGAGGTAATCAGTCCCTGAGCCTTGAGTCAATGTAATCAGTCCATCAATCTTGAAAAGAATACAGCATATGTACAAAGAAGTGGCTTATATACTGTAGGCAGGAGAGGTGCAGCAGTCGTAGGTGGTATCACATTTGACAAATCCAAATGTGGAAGCAGGTCATGCCTGCACCTCTGCTGCCTACAGTATATAAGCCACTTCTTCACACACATATGCTCTATTCTTTTCAAGACTGATGGATTGATTACATCGACTCAAGGCTGAGGGACTGATTACCTGAAACTTCTCCTATTTTCACCATTCTCCTTTGTATGAACTGACGAAGCCACTGTGTGGCGAAACGTTTCCTATCCAAATGTTGCACATTTGTCTAATTTATTAACTTGTCGGTTCTCTGAACCATTTATCTACATACATATATAACTTATCATGCAGCTATAATAAAGTGTACACTCATAACAGATGAAAGATAAATTGCCTTACTTTTTCTCAAGAAGTTCAAAGTGTTGTTTGCAGTCAACAGTGGCAGACTGAGAGGACAGCAAGCGAGTACGTCATTGTACCTACACAAACATGCACACGTTAACTAGAACACTTTTCAAGCCACAAACAAAATTCAAGGAAGACTTATTACATGAAGTAGAGTTCAGTGGATACTGTCCGGTTTGAAAGACAGAAATTGAAAGAAAGGCAGTGGATTATTAATAAGTATTACTAAAAGAAATACTACATGCTACAGAAATTCAAATCCAAAACTCAAATACAGTAATGCTAAACTCTTAGTGATAGAAATCCAAAACAAAGATCATAAATTAATTACTTTAAATATACACAACCCACCATTTAATAGCACATGGTAGAGAGAATAATGTGACTAGGATAAATAATGGACTACTAAATAAAAGTAAAAATCATAATACCGCAAGCAGAAAAAGTGATCATTTTAACTGGAGACAAGAGATGAAGAAAAATATAAAAGAACTGTAGTCAGAGTTCAATTACTAAGAAATAAATTTTATGACCTGTGAGACTGCAAAAGAAAACAAATAGTCAACTAAATTCCTCAATCTGATCCAATTTTTTTTTTTTTTACCTATCAGCACAGACAAAAGTTAACTAATAAATTCAACACAAAATACAAATGCCAGTAATATACTAAATTTTCAATAGAGTTATAATGTATCAGTATGCTTGGAAGCTAAACTATGAAGGGAATGAGAGAGAAAATTTTCTGTAATACATAACTTCACATATTTGTCACCACAAGTAATCCTAAATATATCATGTACTTTCAAGATAAACAAAATGTCACTTAATATTTTCAAGAACACACACACAGGAACTTTCCAAGACAAAAGGCAAGGAGGAACAGAGCTAAGCAACCTTGACACTTGCCAAATGGTGCACTTGTGAATGAGGCAACTGGGCTGCAGTGAGGTTGCATTCTTCCCACACCTAATTAGGAACCTCTTAAGGTGGTAAATGCCAGAGAGACAGAGGCTATGCTGAGCCTTATGGTGTCCCCCTAACTGGCAGCAAACATAACAAGCAGGATGAGGAGTTATGACACAGGGTTAGCAAATGTCTTCAGACAACAAAACCTTGTTTTACCACTTCTTCAATAATCCAGTTATAAAATACTTTTAATATTTATGTAATTAAACCAATAATAGGAAAATTATTAAACTCAGCTACTTAAATGTACAAAAATTAGTATATAAAGGACTATAAATTATTAATTGTGAATTTCCTAAATACTATATTATAGTTAATTTAAATTGTAGTAAAACAACATAACATAAAACCAATAATAATTAAGAAGATATGAGTAAAGCAGAAGAGAGTATGAGGGAACAGAACATCAAACAATTGCACAACATCCCAGAGAGCATCACCACACTGAATGAAACAATACAAGAGAGACTGGACCAACTCACTTCTTCCTCATCTCATTGAGTTCGTTGGCACAGGACACCTTCTCAGAGAGGTCGTGTTCTTGCTCCTCTACACGGTCAAGCAGTTCCTTGATCTATATCAGAGACAAGTAGAAAAGTTAGTGGCACACATATAATAGGTCAAATAAATATGTTTATGATGGAATAATTAGAAAAAATATCTAAAATACATGCATATACAAACTATAAGTGGCCATTCAATGTGGGGGGAAGGGGAGTTATGCCTTGAAGTGGTGAAGGGCTCTGGATTAGAGGAATTGGAGCTACCCTCATCTTTAAAACCATACCCCCAGCCGGGATTGAACCCGCGGGTTCAATCCCGGCCGGGGGTATGGTTTATTTGCAATCGTGTCATTACGATTTCTTGAGTCATACCCTCATCTTTACTGGATAAAATCTGACTGCTTCCCATCCCTCAACTCTCTATGACATGCATATGGAGTATAACAATAGAAATACGAATAAGTGACTATTATAAAGGTACTGAGGGAATGTCGATGATGATACCTTAGAGGAAAGTGCCGATGCTGCCAACAAACTCGTGCTTTTTGTAAAGAAAAGAGAATGAGAGAGAGAGAAAGAAAGAATGGAAATGAATATGGGGTTGGCTGAGAGGGAGGGAGGAATATGTAATGACATACTATTTGTGACTACATAAACTGAGCAATGCTTCTGGTGTTATATTCTTTATTTAGGTTATTTGTAAAATGTCAGTTATGAAAGAAAGCACTTGAAATATTTCCTGTTATCATCCTAAACCACTTATATCACTTAAGATGGTGTCCTTCTCTTCTCCTTGCTGTTAGTTCTAACAAATTTCTCTTGTGAACTCAAAAGTGGTTCTTCTTTCAACAAACCAGCAATATGCCACCAAGGCAAGGTGACCCAAAAAGAAAAACGAAAGTTTCTCTTTTTAAATTTAGTAATATATACAGGAGAAGGGGTTACTAGCTCCTTGTTACCAGCATTTTAGTCAGCTCTTACAACTCAAAAGTGGTTTAATGCTTTCAGTTTCTCTTAGTAATTCATATTTGAATTAATTTCTGTATTCTAATCTGAGTAACATATTTTGCAAATAATTTCTTTACAATTAATCCATTTATTTATTTAATCTTTAAACTGTCCAAACGTAGATCCACATTTGCTCGCGTAGTGCTCCGAACGTAGATCTACATTTTTTTACATTCTTTCTTATGGAGAAAATCAAGTTCGGAGTACTACGCGCGCAAATATAGATCCACGTTTGGACAGTTTAAGGGTTAACAGCCATTCTTTTAGTTTCTGTAACTGCCATAATGTCTCGGTTGTTTTTCTTTATTTTCTCTCTTAATCTGCATTATTGCAAATAACATGTATGTTTATTCTCCATGGGGAAGTAGAACAGAATTCTTCCTTCATAAGCCATGCTTGTCGTAAAAGGTGACTAAAATGCCAAGAGCAAGGGGCTAGTAACCCCTTGTCTTGTATACGTTACTAAAGTTATGAAGAGAAACTTTTGTTTTTCTTTTTGGGCCACCCTGCCTCAGTGGGATACGACTAGTTTGTTGAGAGAGAGATGTATGTTTATGTTTTTGAGGCTCTTTGTAATGAGGTGAGGTGGGGTTGCTAGCTGAGTTAAATTGCAGGGTTGGAATGCATTAGCACAAGTTGGGTAGGGTTTCTGGGACAACAGGGTAAGAAGAAGAATTACTGAGTTGGATTGTTCAGTGATGGGATGGAGGCTGTGGTTGGTGGTAGGATGGAGAGCAGAAGGAGGAGGAGGTTAGTTGATGAATGGGGGTGAGACAGATAAGCATGTTAGTCATGCTTGTTGTTTCCTATCTTTATTCCTCCTGCTCGTCTCTTCCTTGTAAACTCTGCATCTTTACTCTCGTGAACTTTGTTCTCTGGAATTGTGGAGGAGGGTGTATATGGCCCTCATGATACCCTGCCATTTGTCTTCCCTCTCCTCTTCCTGTGTTGCCCGTGACCACCTGCTCCTAACCTTTAGCTTCATTTCTTCTCATCAGTCTGTCTGGTAACACACACACACACTCTCTCTCTCTCTCTCTCTCTCTCTCTCTCATTCTCTCTCTCATTCTCTCTCTCTCATTCTCTCTCTCTCATTCTCTGTCTCTCATTCTCTGTCTCTCATTCTCTCTCTCTCTCATTCTCTCTCTCTCTCATTCTCTCTCTCTCATTCTCTTTCTCTCTTCCTTCTTCATTCCAGGTCACTTTCTAAGAGGCATTCTCATGTTGAGCTCATACTTCCAAAACTTCATGGAGGTACTCCTTATATAATAAATCATATCTTATTAATGAGTAAGCATTTCAAGGAGCCAAAAATAGTCCTCTCTCTTGCTTATACTAGGCATGGTATACCCTTGGTCAGCACTGCTAACCTGCTGCTGACTATAGTTTGTGATGATGCATGTTTGTGGTGATGTATTATTTTATCTCTCTCTCCTCTGTTCCAGAGAGAGCATTCTCAGCACTCAGAGGTGTTTCTAGTAGTTTAAGTGTATTATCTGCTTTATGTGGGCAGTAAATGATTTTTGCCTTTTCTACCTTAGATATATCGCCTGTCCTGAGTGGAGCCATCATTACCAAATAGTACTCTCAAGTGAGATAGCACAAGTGATTTAAAGTGTCACCACTGGCATTATTTTTCTCATTTTGAAATTCTCATTATACACTATGTCATCTTTCTAACTTCTGCATCATTTTCTTTATTACCTTTTACATATTCCTTATGTTCTATGAGGTGATCATCCTGTGTTTTGCATACACCATTCCTTTTGAGTTATTTATTCTCTCCAAATTTAAGCAGTTGGAATTTGTCACTGCTGAACATCATGTTATTTTCTATTGCCTGATGGAAGATTTTATTGATATGCACTTGCAATTTTTCTGCATCTACTGAAGTGACTTTTATGCCTCAGTGGGAAACCGCCAACAGGTTAAAAAAAAAAAAATATTGTATCATCCACAAAGGATGATACGAAGCTGTGGTTAGTGTTTGTATCTTTGTGCTACAAGGAAGAGAAGTAGAGGCACCAAGACTGTGCCCTGGGAACTGATCTTTTTACTGTGCAAAAGTTGGATTTTTCCCTTGTTCATTACTTCTTTGTATCCCATTCATCAGAAAATTGGATTAAGGGTGCTTAGGATTGTTTAATTTATCTCTGTCAATTTTCTGATTACTGAAGTCTGGTCTGGTCTGGCCTGGTCTCAGACCAAGCCACGGGGGCGTTGATCCCCGAAACCCTCTCCAGATATGTTGGCTATATCTGGAATTCTCTATGCCTGAGTTCATGCTGTTTATTTTTTGATGAGACTGTCATCAGAGTGCAGGAGGGCCCAGCTTATACAGCACGTTAGGTTCAGAGCTACTGCTGTAAAGCAAAAATCACTGTAAAGGTAATCATAGCTTTTTTTTCTACTTTCAACATATAAAAGCCTGATAGCATGTTTACACTATCATGTATTAAGTGAGCAATATAGCTAGGCCTAAAAAATGCATATACTGTACACATACATTACTTACCTTAAAATATTTTTATCCTTAGTTCATAGTGCACAAATAACCCGCACATAGCAGAGGAGAGCTCACGTTGACATTTCGGCCCAACTTGGACCATTTACAAAGTCACACTAACAGAAAGGAGAGGAGGCAGTATATATATAGGCCAGCCGACTGGGACTCGACAAGAGAGGTAGTAGAAAAGGAAGTAGAGAGGTAGTGGTAGAGGTAGTAGTAGTAGTAGTTAGTAATGGAGTCAGTCAAAGGCTAAGAAAGAGAAGCACTACAAGGGAGCTAGGGGTCCATAAAGGGCAGGACCAAAAACACAGATGCTTAGTCTTGACGTTGAGTCCCTCTTCACTAATGCCCCTCTGGAAGATGTCCTCAGTTTTCTCAGAGAGAAGACCAATGATGGGTTACTTCATCTCCCTATACATACTGATGTTTTTCTTTATCTTATTCTCCTTTGTGTGGACTCAAATTCCTTTTTCTTCCAAGGCAAATATTATTCTCAAATCTTTGGTGTTGCCATGGGCTCTCCTGTTCTTGCTAATCCTTATAAGGAATACTTCGAGACTGTTCTTCTTTCTACTACTGATGTGCGCCCTTCACTCTGGCTCTCCTCTGTAGATGACATCTTTGCTCTTTGACCTCATGACTAGGCTCTTCCAACCATTTCTCAGTGCCCTTAATAATCTTGCCCCTTCCATTAAGTTTAAAGCTGAATGGGAATCTAATTCTTTGCTTCCTTTCCTTGATGTTCATGTCCACCGCTCAGATACAGGTTTTGCTTTTTCTGTGTACTGCAAGCCTATGCATGGTGGCATGTACATTCACTACTTTTCTCACCATACTCCCTCTGTCAAGAAAAAGGTTCTCACTTCTCTCTTTCTCTGTGCTCTCTGCATTTGTGATCCTCAGTTCCCTGAATCAGAAATTTCCACTCTTCGTAATTCATTTTCTCATCTTGGCTACCCTTCCCATTTCTTAGACTCTGCCTTCTCACATGCTAAACAGACTTTCTTCTCTCCCAGACTCTCTACTCCTGTGAACTCTGCTGTCCTCTGCCTTCCCTATATTTAAAGTGTTTCTAATCTCAACTAATCTCAACTAATTTCCATTCCTTAGATATCAAATTTACTTTTCGCCAGACTAACACTCATCGCACCAATCTAGTTCATACCTTTCCTCCCTCTATAGATGCTCCTGGTGTCTACTCTATTTCCTTTTCCTCTTGTCCTCTTCCGTACTTTGGAGAAACTGGTCGTTCTGTTTCTCACAGACTCGGGGAGCACAAAAGTAGTGTTAGGCTTGCCAACACCAACAATGCTCTTATCTGTCGTGTCAGAGATCCAAGTCCTCCTACTGACTGGTCTTCTGCTAAAACTGTCTACCCTACTTCTAACTTTCACAGTCACCGTCTGGTTGAATCCTCCCTTATACACACCTTTCCTTGTATGAATCTTAGTACTGGCTTTGTCTCTGTAGAAGCCTTCCTTTCCCATTACATTGTAAAATGCTCCAAACTTCAGAACACCCGTGCCTTAACCTGATTCTTTTTTCTCCTTCTCC